GTTTTGCCGGTAACCCCCCGGCGGGTTTTAACCGCCGCGGCAAAAAAACTTTCGCCGAAAAAAAGCGTAAAGCGCGCGATAAGCGCCGCCGCAACGTTTTTAATTCCAATAAACCTGCTTTTAAAACGGACATTGCTTCCTTTTCGCTTTATATGGGTATTTGCAACGCGCTCCCGTTGCAAAAAATTATCGATTTCCAATAAAATAATAATTAAAACCTTATTTATTTGCCTTTTTTTAAGGATAATTATACGGAACGTACGGTATTTTGTAGCCGCTATTTTGGTTATTAAGCATATTAAAATTATGCCGTTAACCCCCGTATACCGATATGCTTCGATAATTGTACGGGGTTTTCCAAATATATTTATTGCAAAAACGTGGTCGGCAATAAAGCTTGCGTTAAATTTTTTAAATGGTTTTAAAAAGTGGCCCAAAACCTTTACAAAATTTTAAATACCGTTTACAAACGGTTGTTTAAAGCGATACCGGAATTTTTTAAAAAGTTTACCAAAACCCAATTTTGCGCCCGCAAGGCCATCCAAAAAGTTAAATCCTTCCATACCATATCGGTCGAACAATTTGCGCGTTACAAACGTTAAATCGTTATTTAAAAACGTATCCAGCGCAAAATTGTTAACGTTGCAATATTAAAAGCTATTTAAAATATTTCTTAATAGCTTTACGCTATCGCCGTTTAAACGAAAAAGCAAGCTTAAGCTTTGGTTAATATCGGTAATTTTTTTAACGAAATAAAAACGTTTTTTAAACGTTTCGAAAAAAATATGGTTGCTTTTTTTAATGGCATTGCCGTTAATTTTGCTACGATTGCGGCGCATTCGAATACCCAAGCTTACAACCGCGCGGTTTCCCGTAAAAATGCGGCGTCCGTATTGGCGCCGGGAAATGCCGCTTTTGGCGCCAACAATTTTAACGGCAACAATTATAACGCTAGCGAAAAAAACGTAATTTTTGGAAATTTTGGTTTTTTTAAATACGGCATTTAATTAATTTTTTTATATATTTTTTAATTAATTATTGGTATCCCCTTTTTAAAAAATGGTTAATTTTAAATTTTTTTCGTTAATTTGTTACAATTAAAATTACAATTTCCTTTCCTTATATTACTTTTGCAACATTGCAAAATTCCAATATCCTTAATTACTAATTAGGTTTTAATGCCCCAATAAATAATTTTAAAATGCTTTTTTTTTTGCCCTTTAATGGGTTTAAATACCGCCGATATGCATTTACCGTTACCCAAACGTTTAGGCCCGTTCGCCGTACCATTTGGAAATTTTTTTATTTTTTTTCCGGGCAAGCAATAATGTTTTTTACCATAATGTACGTTTAAAATGCGGTAATTGCTTTAGCGTATTGCGCCAAGCATGCCTTTTACGGGCTTTCCAAAATATGTTATACCTTGCATGTTTTTTGGAATTTAAATATATCGCATTATTAATTTAAAGCGTTTCCCGTACTATACCGTTTCCATTTAACTTTTTGTTTATAAAGTACAATATTTTACGGCTATTACAAACCGTTTACGGGTTTTTTTACGTTTTTCCCCGGTAACTAGCCGGTTTGGCACGTTAAAACATTTTTTTGGGCCATTCTTTTAGCTTTTATTACTTTTTTCCTATAATACCCCCGTCTTTTCCGGGTATTTACCCGTTAAAATCCGGTATTTTCCTTATTTTATAAGCTCGTTTCCAATAAATTTGCTTTATACGTTTAAACAATTTTTTTCGTAATATCCTTTTTTAAAATTTATAAATTTTCCGATTCGTTATAACTTATCCATTTAACCAAATATTTTCGTTTTTGCAAAAGCTTTTTATATTTTAGCAAAGCCTTTACTTCGAAACGATCCTTTTTTTTTTTTTAATTTTTAATTTTTTATTTTTTGGTTTTTTGCCGGGTTTTTTTTTAAACGCTCCCAATAAATTTGCCGGGAATACGTTATATATTCGGTAATTTACCAAAAGCTTTAACCGGAACGCCAAACCGGCTAACCCAACCATTTTTAGGACTTGGAAAAGTTTTAACCATTTGTTCGATAGCTTTTTTAACGGCCTTTTTATTTTAATATTCGCCGTATTTAATAATACTTAATCGTTTACCCCAAAAAGCACCGGGGTTTTGCTTTTATTATAATACTTTTTATACATATTATTCGCTTTTTTTAGCAATTTTTTAGCTTGTTTTTTAATTGCTTCCAAAACCCCCGCCTTAATTTTAACCGTTACCGAAAGTTTTTTTTTAATTACCCGAAAATTATAAAGTTTTCGTAAGTAAAACCTTATTAGCAAAAACGCCGGGGTTTTTTGCAACCCCGAATGCACGTTCGTATTGTGCACTTACGTTGCCAAATGCAATAATAACGCCCAATCGTTTTGCTTTTCGCAGCAAAAGCACCGAAAGTAATGCTTTATTATTTGGTTTGTTCGTTTCGTTTGCCCGTCGGTTTAAAAATAATATGCTATCGATAATTTTTTTGCAATTTTTAAATATTCGGCAAAAATTGTTTAAAACCCGTTTGTAAATAATTTATTCCGGTTCGATACAATCTTTTCGAACGTTTTTAACAGCTTTTAAACGTATGTAAATAAAAAATTCCTTAATTTTTTATTGGTTAATTTTGTAAACGTTGGGATAAAAAAGTTATATTTGGTAAACCGGTTAATTATTACCAATATTGCGTTGCGCTTTTTACCGGTTCCATTTACTAACGTTAAAAGCTTTTCGATAAAATCCATCGATAATTTTTGTTCCGAACGGTTTGGTACGGGCAAAAATGCTAGCAACCCGTAAAGTATTTGTATTTTTAACTTCGTTTGCTGGCATATTTAATACGTTCGCACGTATTTGCGTACGTTTTTAACCATACCTAGCCATTTAAATTACCGTTTAAATTTTTTTAAAATTTTGGCCATACCTTTGTAACCTTTCGTTGGGTTATTGTATTATTTTTAAAACATTGTTCGTTTAAACGGTATTAAATTCGGAACCCAAATTTTTTTTTTATGCTTAAATAAGCCGTTGTTAATTTTCCAAACGTTAAATTTATTTTTCCAAATACCGTTTTAAACGAAATCGTTTTTTGCTTGTGCTTTAAAAATACGCTTTAATATCGTTTTAATGTTTTTTTTAATGGTAATCGTTCTTACGTAAGTTATTTTTTAAAATTTAGCTAATAAATCGCTTTGGAATTTTTTTTTTGCTATATTGGCTTTCCCGTTTATTGGTATATTTTAAAAACGTTTTAACAAATTATCCGCGGGGTTCCGGTATTTTGGCTTTTATTTAATCGTAAAATCGTACTTTGTTAAATTTTTAAACCATTTTATTTGGCGCTTTATTACCTTTTTCTTTATTAAAATATAGGTATAATTTAAATGGTCGGTAATTATTTTAATAATTTTTTGTAAATAAGCCAAATAATACCGTTACTTTTTAAAAGCTTTTACAATTGCTAGCAATTTTAAATTAAAAATTGTATAGCGTAGCTTTTTTTATCGCAATTTTTTCGATATGTAAATTACCGGGTGCTACCGGCCGTCCTGTAATTGCAACAATACCGCCTTTATCGCAAAAGCCGAAATGTTGGTTTGTACGCATAACGGCTTTAAAAAGTTAAAATGCACTAATACCGAAACTTTCGTAAATAATAATTTTAATTTGCAAAAAGCCTTTTTTGCAATACTTCCTAAATAAAATACGGTATTTTTGCTAAAAAAGTCCGTTAAAAGCACAGTAATTTTCGCGTAACCTTTTACAAATTTCCGATAATACCTTGTAAAGCCCAAAAACATTTGGATATTTTTAACGCTTTCCGGTATTTTCCATTTTAAAATTGCAATAACTTTATCCGGCAAAATTTTAACCCCAAATTTGGTTATCCTAAATTTTACAAAATCGATATTATCCGTTTCGAATTTGCATTTGGCCGGGTTAACGTAAAGTTTAAACCGTTCGAATCGCTTTAATACCGTTTTTATTGCTTTGCGGTGCTTTTTTTGTATTTTCGAAAAAATAAAAATATCGTTTAAATATACGATACAATTGCTATTAATTAATTTTTTAAACGCTATATTAATAAAGCTTTAAAACGTTGTTAAAGCGTTAGCCAAACCGAAAAGCATTACTAAGTATTCGTAATGTCCATATTTACAGCGAAAAGCAATTTTCCATTCGTTTTTTTATCGGATTCGTATTTTGTAATAAGCATTTTTTAAATCCAATTTGGTAAAGTACTAGTTTTTAAATACCCGGTCGAATATTTTATAAATTAACGAAAATGTTAACCGGTTTTTTTTAATAACCTTGTTAAAACTTTAATAATTAATATAAAAGCGGAATTTCCCGTCCTTTTTTAAAACAAACAGGATTTTGGCGCCGGCGGGGCTAATTAAATGCCGGATTTAACTTTTTGCTATAGCTTTGTTAAAATACCCCCGGAAAGTTTTTAATTCCTTTTTGGATAAAGGATAAATGCTTTTATAAAGCGGCATCGTTTTTTTTTCCAATTCGATTGCGTAATTTTAGCTTGTATGTTTTAGCAAAGGGTTCGATTTATAAAGCTGCGCATATTTTGCAATTATTTTTTTAACCCATTCCGGAAAAGTTTTTAGCTTTTCCCCGGGGTTTTTCGGGGTTTTCGAACGTGCAACCGTTAATACGGTTATTATTTGTTCCAATTGGATTAGCTTTTTAGCTATTTCCAATAAAATTATTTTAACCTTTTTGGTAATTACCGGGAACTTCCATTTTATATCCCCAAACCGGATTTTAATATCCTTTTGTTAAAGCCAAAGCATATTTAACGTAATATCGTACCCGGCCCGGGGCATTACCACGTAAAATATTATTAATTTTCGGGTTATTTTTTAACTATCCGTTACCCAAATTTTATATTCCCTTACCTTTAACGTAAGCATGCGTTTTTTGGTATCGAACCACGCTAGGTAGCCCCCGTTTAGCACCGGTATTTTTTTTGTTTTTACCAAAAAACGGTTGTGCAATAAATTAACGTCGCTTTTATTGTTAACTAGCGCTTTTAATTTTACCCGGCGACCGTTAATTTGTAAATACATTTCGGTTTTCCAACGCGTTTTGGCCGCCGGGGCGCATTTTTAAGCCCCGGTGCCTAAACGGCCAAATAGCGGTATCGAGTTAGGTAGCGATATTTTGCTTTTTTTAGGGCACGCCGGCCGGATATAGCCCAATTTCCCATATCCGTAACACCGTATTTCGGGCCTTTTCCTTTTTGCCCTTTGTATGGTCGTTGGGGCTAATAGGGTTTCCGGGTTGTCCGTTCGTATTTTGCATGCTGCAACGATATAGCTTAATTGCCCGCATTTAAAGTAAGTAACCGGCTTTTTAAAAGCTAAGACATTTGTATCCCCCGGGGTCCTTTTGTACGATCCCAATATTATTTTTGTTTTAAAAGTTTTGGTTTGCAATTTTTTTATAATGTAAAAAAGGCTTTTAAATATTACCCGTTTTTAAATTTTGGGGCGAAACCGGTTAAAAAGCAATATCGTCCTTATTTATTTGGGTGCTAATTCGGAAAAATCGTTTTTTATTAAATCCTAACGAATCCGGAACGCTTTAAACAATTTGTAATCCTTTTGTTTAATAACGGTATCCCCCGCGAACTTTTTAATCGCTAGTTATATTCGCAAATTGGAATTTTTTAACCTTGCTTAAAGTTACCGCAAAAAATCGATTTAAATAAACAATACCCCGGTATTTAAATAATGCATTTGCTTATATTTTATCCATTGTACCCGCCGATAATAGTTAAAAGTGCTAAAAGTTATTTAAATTTTTATACGGTTTTTACCGTAGCGTTTTTTTTCGTTTTTAAAAATAAATTCGTAATTGTTAATGTAATGGGCGATATTTTGCCAAATTGCCGATTTTTTAAGCATAAAAGGTTTAAAAATAACTTTGCTTTACGTAAAACCTTTCCGTCGTTTAAAAATATTTTTTTTATTTTTGTTTAAGCTTTTATGCGTATGCTTCGACTTTTTGTTTTGGATTTTTTAAATTAAACGAGCGCGTTTGCTTTAGGCTTTTAGCGCATCGTTTATTTTTTGCAATTTTTTTACGAAAAGGTTTTCGAAATTATTAAAAATTTGCGGGGCTTTTTTGGTATTTTGTTCCGGTAGTTTAACGGCTTTTTCCAACGTGCTCGATGTAGCGTCGGGCGTTATTGTAAACGGTACGAAATTGCAAATACCTTTTTTAAATTTGCTCGATCCTTTTTGGTAATTACCCGGGCTTATTTTTTAAATAAAAAAGGTATAAAAAAAGGAACAATATATTAAGGGTTAATCGGTGCAAAAGCGGGTGGTTACCGGGTTACGGGCCGGATACGGTGTTTTTTTTGTTAAGCTTCCGTAAATTTTTTACCAAAGGTGCTATCGCTAACAAAAATTGTTCCTTTTTTAACTTCCCCTTTTTTCGTACCTTTGTTAAGGGTTAATCGGTGCAGAGGCGGGTGGTTACCGGGTTACGGGCCGGATACGGTATTTCCTTTATTAAGCCTCCGTAAATTTTTTACCAAAGGTACTATCGCTAACAAAAATTATTCTTTTTTTAACTTCCTTTTTTTTCGTGCCCTTTTGGGCACTTGGGGTTAGTTTTTTAAATTTTCCGCGTTCCAAGCGCTTTTGTGCAATTTAAACTTTACCTTATTTTTTAATTTCGTTATTATATTTTGGCCGCGATACCGGTAATTTGCCGGCATATTTTTGGGGGGTCCGTGCCCGGTTAGCTATTAGCGCCCTTTTTTTTTTTTTACCGGGCGGTTTTGCCCGTACATTTAACGCTCCCCGCTTTTTGCCGGGCGGTTTTGCCCGTGCTTTTAACATATTGCCCTTTCCCGATACGGCTTATTTTAAGCCGTTTGTACCGCGCGTACGACCCCGTAAGTAGCCGGTAATTTACGATATCCCGTTAAACCGCCCCAATGCCCGGCAACGCTTGGGGAAACCGGTTGTAAAGCTTTGTAGCATTTGGAAAAATGGGTTCGTACCGGTATATAAAAAGCTTTTTTTCCCGTTTAAAGCTACAAACCCTTTTTCTTTCCTTTTTGTGCACTTAACAATTATTCCAACAATTTTAACGATTGTAATTGTAAATAATCGGTATTTAATCGCTTTTTTTAAATATTTAAACTTAACCGGTAATTATAAATGTTATTTTTTGTACTTAATTACGTAAAAAAGGTAATATTTTTTTGGGTATTCGCTTCGGGTTTTTCGGTTTTAACCGGCCCGTTAGCCCTTTTTAACAACCCCCCGGTATTTTTTTTAATTATTATGGTTTAATCGAATTCGGATTCGGTTTTGCCGAAGCTTCCAATTTTTTAAATCCTTAACGATCGTTTTACCGGTAACCTTCCGGTAAGCCTTTTAAATATTGCGGGTCCATCGGGCCTTTTTGCGCTTATAGCCTTTTAAAATTCCCGCAAACGTTTTGCCGGTAACCCCCCGGCGGGTTTTAACCGCCGCGGCAAAAAAACCTTTGCCGAAAAAAAGCGTAAAGCGCGCAACGAACGCCGCCGCAACGCTTTTAATTCCAATAAACCTGCCCCCAAAACGAACATTGCTTTTTCTTTGCTTTATATAAATATCCGCAACGCGCTCCCGTTGCAAAAAATTATCGATTTCCAATAAAGCAATAATTAAAACCTTATTTATTTGCCCTTTTTTAAAAACAATTATACGGAACGTACGGTATTTTATAGCCGCTATTTTGGTTGTTAAGCATATTAAAATTATGCCGTTAACCCCCGTATACCGATATGCTTTAATAATTGTACGGGGTTTTCCAAATATATTTATTACAAAAACGTAATCGGCAATAAAGCTTGCGTTAAATTCCCCGAATGGTTTTGGAAAATAGCCCAAAACCTTTACAAAATTTTAAATACCGTTTACAAACGATTGCTTAAAGCGATACCGGAGCTTTTCGAAAAGCTTACCAAAGTTTAATTTCGCGCCCGCAAAGCTATTTAAAAAGCCAAATCCTTCCATACCATATCGGCCGAATAATTTGCGCGTTACAAACGTTAAATCGTTATTTAAAAGCGTATTTAACGCAAAATTGCCAGCGTTGCGATATTAAAAATTACCTAAAACATTTTTTAGCAATTTTACGCTATCGCCGTTTAAACGAAAAAGCAAGCTTAAGCTTTAGCTAGCATCGGTAACTTTTTTAACGAAATAAAAGCGTTTTTTAAACGTTTCGAAAAAAGTATGGTTGCTTTTTTTGGTAGCATTGCCGTTAATTTTGTTACAATTGCGGCGCATTTGGATATTTAAGCTTATAATTGCGCAATTTCCCGTAAGGGTGCGGCGTTCGTATTAGCGCCGGGAAATGCCGCTTTCGGCGCTAACAATTTTGGCGGCAACGATTATAGCGCTAACGAAAAAAACGTAGTTTCCAAAGGTTTTGGTTTTTTTAAATACGGCATTTAATCGATTTTTTTTATATATTTTCCTAATTAATTATTGGTATTCCCTTTTCGAAAAGTAATTAATTTTAAGTTTTTTTCGTTAATTTGTTATAATTAAAATTATAATTTCCTTTTGTTATATTGCTTTTGCAGCATTGCAAAGTTTTAATGTTTTTAATTACTAGCTAAGTTTTAATGCTTTAATAAATAATTTTAAAATGCTTTTTTTTCGCCCTTTAATGGGTTTAAATACCGCCGATATGCATTTGCCGTTACCCGAACGCTTAAGCCCGTTTGTTATACTATCCGGAAATTTTCCCATTTCCTTTTCGGGCAAACAATAATGTTTTTTACTACAACGTACGTTTAAAATGCGGTAATTGCTTTAGCGTATTGCGCTAAGCATGCCCTTTACGGGCTTTTCGAAATGTGCTACACTTTGCATGTTTTTTGGGATTTAAATATATCGCACCATTAATTTAAAGCATTTCCCGTACTATACCGTTTTTATTTAACTTTTTATTTATAAAGCACGATATTTTACGGTTATTACAAATCGCTTACGGGTTTTTTTACGTTTTTTTCCGGTGGCTAACCGGTTTGGTACGTTAAAACATTTTTTTAGGCCATTTTTTTAGCCTTTGTTATTCCTTTTTTGTAATATCCCCGTCCCTTTCGGGTATTTACCCGCTAAGGTTTGGTATTTTCCTTATCCTATAAGCTTGCTTTTAATAAGCTTGCTTTATACGTTTAAACAATTTTTTTCGTAATATCCTTTTTTAAAATTTACGAATTTTCCAATTCGTTGTAATTTATTTATTTAACCAAATATTTTCGTTTTTGCAAAAGCCTTTTGTATTCCAACAAAGCTTTTACTTTAAAACGATCCTTTTTTTTTTTTCGATTTTTGGTTTTTTATTTTTTGGTTTTTCGTTGGGCCTTTTTTTAAACGCCCGTAATAAATTTACCGGGAATACGTTATATATTCGGTAATTTACCGAAAGCTTTAACCGGAACGCTAAACCGGCTAATCCAACCATTTTTAAAATTTAAAAAGGTTTTAACCATTTATTTAATAGCTTTTTCGACGGCCTTTTTATTTTAATGTTCGCCGTATTTAATAATACCTAATTGCCTACCCTAAAAAGCACCGGGGTCCTGCTTTTATTATAATACTTTTTATACATATTATTCGCTTTTTTTAGCAATTTTTTGGCTTGCTTTTTAATTGCTTCCAAAGCTTTCGCTTTAATTTTAACCGTTGCTAAAGGTTTTTTTTTAACTACCCGAAAATTATAAAGCTTTTGTAAGTAAAATTTTATTAGCAAAAACGCCGGGGTTTTTTGTAACCCCAAATGCACGCTCGTATTATATATTTACGTTGTTAAGTGCAATAGTAACGCCCAATCGTTTTGCTTTTCGCAGCAAAAGCACCAAAAATAATGCTTTATTGTTTGGTTTGTTCGTTCCGTTTGCCCGTTGGTTTAAAAGTAGTATGTTATCGATAGCTTTTTTGCAATTTTTAAGTATTCGGCAAAAGTTATTTAAAACCTGTTTGTAAATAGCTTGTTCCGGTTCGATATAATCCTTTCGGGCGTTTTTAATAACCTTTAAACGTATGCAAATAAAAGGTTTTTTAATTTTTTATTGGTTAATTTCGTAAACGTTGGAATAAAAAAGCTATATTTAATAAACCGGTTAACCATTACCAATATTACGTCGCGCTTTTTGCCGGCTTTATTTACCAACGTTAAAAATTTTCCGATAAAATTTATCGATAACTTTTGTTCCGGGCGGTTTAGCACGGGCAAAAATGCTAATAACCCGTAAAGTGTTTGTATTTTTGGCTTTATTTGCTAGCATATTTAATACGTCCGTACGTATTTGCGTACGTTTTTAGCTATACCCGGCCATTTAAACTGCCGTTTAAACTTTTTTAAGGTTTTGGCTATGCTTTTGTAATTTTCCGTTGGGCTATTGTATTGTTTTTAAAGCATTATTCGTTTAAACGGTATTAAATTCGAAATCCAAACTTTTTTTTTATGCCTAAACAAACCGTTGCTAATTTTTTAAACGTTGGGCATGTTTTTTTAAATACCGTTTTAAACAAAATCGTTTTTTGTTTATATTTTAAGGATGCGCTTTAATATCGTTTTAATGTTTTTTTAATGGTGGTTATCCTTACGTAAATTGCTTTTCGGAATTTGGCTAGCAAATTATTTCGGAATTTTTTTTTTGCTATATTGGCTTTCCCGTCCATTAATATATTTTAAGGACGTTTTAATAAACCATTTGCGGGGTTTTGGTATTTTAGCTTTTATTTAATCGTAAAATTGTATTTTGCTAAATTTTTAAACCATTTTGCTTAACGCTTTGTTACCTTTTTTTTTGTTAAAATATGGGTGTAATTTAAATGGTTAATAATTATTTTAACAATTTTTTGTAAATAAACTAAATAATGCCGTTACTTTTCGAAAGCTTTTACAATTGCTAACAATTTTAAATTAAAAATTGCATAACGCAATTTTTTTTGTTGCAGCTTTTTCGATATGTAAGCTATTGGGTATTACCGGCCGTTTTGCAATTGCAATAGCACCGTTTTTATTGCAAAAGCCAAAGCGTTAGTTCGTACGCATAACGGTTTCGAAGGGTCGAAATGCACTAATACCGAAACTTTCGTAAATAATAATTTTAATTTGCAAAAAGCTTTTTTCGCAATATTTTTTAAGTAAAATACGGTATTTTTGCTAAAAAAATTTGTTAAAGGCATAATAATTTTCGCGTAACCTTTTACGAATTTCCGATAATACTTTGTAAAATTTAGAAATATTTGGATATTTTTAACGCTTTTCGGTATTTTTTATTTTAAAATTGCAATAATTTTGTTCGGCAAGATTTTAACCCCGAATTTAGTTATTTTAAACCTTAAAAAATCGATACTATCCGTTTCGAATTTGCATTTGGCCGGGCTAACGTAAAGCTTAAACCGTTTAAATCGTTTTAGCACCGTTTTTATTACTTTGCGGTACTTTTTTTGTATTTTCGAAAAAATAAAAATATCGTTTAAATATATAATGCAATTGCTATTAATTAATTTTTTAAACGCTATATTAATAAAGCTTTAAAACGTTGTTAGGGCGTTGGCCAAACCGAAAGGTATTATTAAATATTCGTAATATTTATATTTGCAACGGAAAGCAATTTTCCATTCGTTTTTTTATCGGATTCGTATTTTGTAATAAGCGTTTTTTAAATCCAGCTTGGTAAAATACTGGCTTTTAAATACCTGGTCGAATATTTTGTAAATTAGCGGGAGTATTAGCCGGTTTTTCCTGGTAATTTTGTTAAAACCCCGATAATTAATATAAAGGCAAAACTTTCCGTCCTTTTTTAAAACGAACAGGATTTTAGCGCCGGCGGGGCTAATTAAATGCCGAATCCAACCTTTTGCTATAGCTTTGTCGAAATACCCCCGAAAGGTTTTTAATTCCTTTTTGGATAAAGGATAAATGCTTTTGTAAAACGGTATCGTTTTTTTTTTAATTCGATCGCGTAATTCCAGCCTATATGTTTTAATAAAGGGTTTAATTTATAAAGCTGCGCATATTTTGCAATTATCCTTTTAATTTATTCCGGGAAAGCTTTTAGCTTTTTCCCGGGGTTTTTCGGGGTTTTCGGGCGTGCAACCGTTAGTACGGCTATCGTTTGTTCCAATTGGATTAATTTTTTAACTATTTCCAACAAAATTATTTTAACCTTTTTGGTAATTACCGGGAATTTTTACTTTATATCTTTAAACCGGATTTTAATATTTTTTTGCTAAAACCAAAGCATGCTTAACGTAATGTCGTACCCGGCCCGGGGCATTATTACGTAAAATATTATTAACTTTCGGGTTATTCCCTAGCTATCCGTTACCTAAATTTTATATTTTTTTACTTTTAACGTAAGCATGCGTTTTTTGGTATCGAATTACGCTAAATAACCCCCGTTTAATACCGATATCTTTTTTATTTTTATTAAAAAACGGCTATGCAACAAATTAACGTCGTTCCCATTGTTAACCAGCGCTTTTAATTTTACCCGGCGACCGTTAATTTGTAAATATATTTCGGTTTTTTAGCGCGTTTTAGCCGCCGGAGCGCACTTTTAAGCCCCGGTGCCTAAACGGCCAAATAGCGGTATTGAATTGGGTAGCGATATTTTGCTCTTTTTAGGGCACGCCGGCCGGATATAGCTTAATTTTTTACACCCGTAACACCGTACTTCGGGCCTTTTCCCCTTCGCCCTTTGTATGGTTGCTGGGGCCAACGGGGTTTTTGGGTTATCCGTCCGTATTTTGCATATTGCAACGATATGGTTTAATTGCCCGCATTTAAAGCAAATAACCGGCTTTTTAAAGGCTAAAACATTTGTATCCCCCGGGGTCCTTTTATGCGGTTCCGATATTATTTTTGCTTTAAAGGCTTTAATTTGCAATTTTTTTATAATGTAAGGAAAGCTTTTAAATATTACCCGTTTTTAAATTTCGGGGCAAAACCGGTTAAAAAGCAATGTTATCCTTATCCATTTGGGTGCTAATTCGAAAAGGTCGTTTTTTATTAAATCCCAACAAATTTAAAACGTTTCGAACGATTTGTAATCCTTTTGTTTAATAGCGGTATCCCCCGCAAGCTTTTTAATCGCTAGTTATATTTGCGAATTGGGGTTTTTCGATTTTGTTTAAAATTACCGCGAAAAATTGGCCTAAATAAACGATACCCCGGTATTTGGGTAATGCATTTGCTTATATTTTGTTTATTATGCCCGTTAACGATGGTCGAAAGTGCTAAAAGCTATTTAAACCTTTATACGGTCCTTACCGTAACGTTCTTTTTCGCTTTTAAAAATAAATTTGTAATTATTAATGTAATGGGCGATATTTTGCCAAATTGCCAATTTTTTAAGCATAAAAGGTTTAAAAGTAATTTTGCTTTACGTAAAACCTTTTCGTTGCTTAAAAATATTTTTTTTATTTTCGTTTAAGCCTTTATGCGCATATTTTAACCTTTTGTTTTGGATTTTTTGGATTAAGCGGGCGCGTTTGCTTTAAGCCTTTAACGCGTTATTTATTTTTTGCAATTTTTTTACGGAAAAGTTTTTAAGGTTGTTAAAAATTTGCGGGGTTTTTTTGGTATTTTATTCCGGTAACCCAACGGCTTTTTCCGACGTGCTTAACGTAACGTCGAGCGTTATTATAAGCGGTACAAAATTGCAAATGCCCTTTTTAAGCTTGTTCGATCCTTTCCGGTAATTACTTGGGCTTATTCCCCAAATAAAAAAGGTGTAAAAAAAGGAATAATATGTTAAGGGTTAATCGGTGCAAAAGCGGGTAATTACCGGGTTACGGGCCGGATACGGTGTTTTTTTTATTAAATTTCCGTAAATTTTTTACCAAAGGTACTATCGTTAACAAAAATTGTTCCTTTTTTAACTTTCTTTTTTTTCGTACCTTTTTGGGCATCCAGGGTTGGTTTTTTAAATTTTTCGCGTTCCAAACGCTTTCGTACAATTTAAACTTTATTTTATTTTTTAATTTCGCTATTATGCTTTGGCCGCAATACCGATAGCTTGCCGGCATATCCCCGGAAAGTTCGTGCCCGGTTGGTTACTAGCGCCCCTTTTTTCTTTTTTTGCCGGGCGGTTTCGCCCGTGCATTTAACGCTCCCCGCTTTTTGCCGGGCGGTTTCGCCCGTGCTTTTAATAGCCTTTTCGGGCACCCGGGGTCGGTCCTTTAAGTTTTTCGCGTTCCAAGCGCTTTCGTGCAATTTAAGCTTTACCCTATCTTTTAGCTTCGCCATTATGCTTTGGCCGCGATACCGGTAGCTCGCCGGCAT